GGGACTCCGGGCGCCGGGGGAGTGGGAGGGGGCGGGGTCGCGGTGGCGCGTGCGCACTGACGTGAGGGAGGGCGGTGCGCGCGCAGCCTGACTCAGGCGCAAGCGGGGCCGCGGGCAGTAGTGCGCGTGCGCAGCCGGGTCCGGGGGCGGGGTCCTGATGGGGGGTTGGCCCTGGGACCGCCCCCTGAGAGTCGCGTGCTTTTTCCTGTCCACTTGCTGGCTGCCGAGACGGCTGCCCACTGCCCCAGCCTGCCGTGTTGGGTCGTGATTCCAGCTCCTCGCGGCTCCCGGGCTCTCTGCCCAGGGGATGCCGTTGCGCCCCGCCCCGTGCGCCTGGCAAGCGCGCAGTGTTCTGGGAGACGCTTGTCGCCCACCCCGCGAAGGGACCCTCACCCCTTTGTGGAGTAGCAGTGGCTGTGTGTGCGCGCGCGGTCTCGGCCCGGTCCCTGAGCCAGCCTCCCTTCTCTGAGACCTCTCACTGCCCAGCCCTGGGCAGCAGGAAAGCCCCCACCACCCCAGGGCAACCTCTACAGGCAGGGTGGGGAGGGAAGCTAGGCCCTGGGCACTGGCCACAGTGGCCACAGAGGCGCGGGCTTCCTCCAGAAGCTGGGCCTCCTCTTCCCTTCCCAAGCCTCTGCGGGGAAAGCCAGAAAGCCTGCAGATGGAAGAGGTGCGGCCCCTGCTCCCATTAGCTTCCGCAACTCAGCCTGCCTGCCGCCGGGCCTTTGCACGGATGCTCCAGAGGTGGACCAGGGGCAGATAAGCTCCACCCCTACTGTAGAGCAGTGTCAGAGCCACCCACAGGGCTTGTCAAACACAGACTGGGGTTAAGATTTTTTTTATTTGGAAGTCAGAATTACAGAGTGGGGAGAGAGAGAGAGAGCGAGCCCACCCTCCATCTGCAGGGTCACATCCCCCAAATGGCCACACCAGCTGGGGCTGGGTCAGGCGGAAGCCAGGGGCCTGGAACTCCATCCGGGTCTCCCACACGTGTGGCAGGGGCCCAGGTACCTGGTCCATCATCTGCTGCCTCTCAGGAAGCTGGATTAGAGCATGGAGCAGCCAGGACTCAAACCAGATCCGATCCGATATGGGACAGGTACCCAAGCAGTGGTTCAATCTTGTGCCGTAAGGCCCACCCCCATTCTGGCTTTGCTTACAACCCCCCCCCCCCCACCACCACCACCACGATGCTGAAGCTGCTAGTGCTGTTTTGAAGAGCACTTGGCCTACAGGAGGGAAACAGACGTTCACCAAGCAGGATAGCCCCACGAGGAAACAGAGGTACAGTGATAGGTGCTACGGAGGAGACCTGCAAATACACGACACAAAATTTCAGTGTGTGTGCAGGGATGGTGGGGGGCAAGGGGGGCTCAGGAGCAGGGAGCTGGCAGAGGGGCTCAGGCTGGACCCCCCTGTGTGAGGAGCCATGGGAAGCTTCCAGAGACCTGGGAAGCATGGTCAGACGCTGGACATGGTGGGCCAAAAGGAGGGGGAACGGAAGTAAGTGGGGGACCCAGCCGCAAAGACGCAGAGGTGGGTCAGATAGGGATGATGGAGGCGTTCTTTTATTTAAATTTATTTATTATTTATTCAAAAGGTAGAGGCAGAGAGAGAGAGAGAGAGAGAGAGAGGTCTTCCATCCGCTGGTTCACTCCCCAAATGGCCACAAAAAGCTTGAGCTGGGCCAGTCCAAAACCAGGAACCAGGAGCTTCTTCCAGGTCTTCCACGTGGGTACAGGGGCCCAAGCACTTGGGCCATCTTCCACTGCTTGCCCAGGCCATAGCAGAGAGCTGGATCGGAAGTGGAGCTGCCAGGACTCGAACCGACGTCCATATGGGATGCCGGCACTGCGGGCGGCAGCTTTACCTGCTACGCCACAGCACCGGCCCCTGATGGAGGCTTTTAACCTCCTTGTGGCCTTTCTCAGTCTTCCATGAAGCAAGAAGAAGTCATTCCAGATTTTTTTTTTAAGATTATTTATTTGAAAGCAGAGTTACAGAGAGACAGAGGCAGATAAAGAAAGATCTTCCATCTGCTGGTTCACTCCCCAAATGCCCGCAACAGCCAGGGCTGGGCCAGGTTGAAGCCGGGGGCCTGGAGCTCCATCCGGGTCTCCCACATGGGTGGCAGGGGCCCAAGCACTTGGTCCACCTTCCACTGCTTTTCCAGGCTCACCAGCGTGGAGCTGCGTTGGAGGTGAAGCCGCCAGGGCTTGAACCAGCACTCACGTGGGATGCTGGCACCACAGGCAGCGTTTAACCCGCTGCGCCACCTCGCTGGTCCCATTCTATGTATTTCAAACAGAGGAAACTGAATAGGGGGGATTATTAAGGCAGACAAACTGGACGAACAAATGGGGAAGGGAAGGTTACTTGAAGATTAGTGAGTATAGGAGGTGGTTAGCTCCTCTAAGGCTGAAAGATCAAAAGGACAAAAGGTGTCAGCCACCACCCACAGCCACTGGTGCGGTGAGGACGGGAACCGGACACCAAGTCAGCCACGCAGCTTCCACCACTGCCGCTGAACTCGCTGCCGCCGCCGTGGCTGCCACCTAAGGCAGAGGCCTGAGAAAAAGTCTCCTCCCCCACCTCCAACTCCCTCTCACAGAGCACGGCAGGAAACCAGTGGGCAAGGGTGTCTGGAAGTGGAGTGTGCAGGCTTCCAGCGCCTGCGGCAGGAACTGAAAGAGGGGAGGCCGGAGCCGGCACTGTGGCGGAGCGGGTAAAGCCACCGCCTGCAGTGCCAGCATCCCATAGGGGCACCGGTTCGAGTCCCGGCTGCTCCACTTCCGATCCCGCTCTCTGCTCATGTGCCTGGGAAAGCAGTGGAAGATGGCCCAAGTGCTTGGGCCCCTGCACCCATGTGGGAGTCCTGGAAGAAGCTCCTGGCTCCTGGCTTTGGATTGGCACAGCTCTGGCCGTTGTGGCCATCTGGAGAGTGAACCAGCAGATGGATGACCTCTCTTTCTGTCTCTCTCTCTAACTCTGCCTTTTAAATAAATAAATAAATCTTAAAAAAAAAATACAGATTTCATTATGTAAAAAGAGAGAGAGAGGTGGCCATTGTCTGGACTGCAAATAGGCTCTGAGGAGTGTGTGAGTCCCACAGGGCCAGGGGCATGGTCCCAGTGGCCGAGGCTACCACCACACTGGCTAGGGACCCACTGTCCTGGGGCCTCTCCTGTGTGGCTCCAGAGCTGCTCTGCCCAACATGGTGGCTAGTCAGGACATGTGACCACTTTAATAAAGAAAATGTCCTACATTGTCGTGTAGCTGGTAAAGCTGTTGCCTATGACACCGGCATTCCACATGGGTACCGGATCCAGCCCCAGCTGCTCCACTTGATCCAGCTCTCTGCTGTGGCCTGGGAAGGCAGCAGAAGATGGCCCAAGTCCTTGGGCCCCTGCACCTGCGTGGGAGACCCAGATGGAGCTCCTGGCTCCTGGTTTCAGCCTGGCCCAGCCCTGGCCATTGCAGGCATTTGGGGAGTGAACCAGCAGATGGAAGATCTCTCTTTCTCTGTTTTTTCCTTATCTCTGTAACTCTGCCTTTCAAATAGATAAAATAAATCTGTTAAAAAAAAAAAAAAAAGAGTCAGACCTCATCTTCTGGGGCACAGCTGTCTGTGACGATTTTCTGGGACAATGGAGGCTGTCCCATTCGCACTGACAAGCAAAGCAGCCACTTCCCGTGGGTGGTTACTGACTGCTTCCCTCGTGGCTTATGGCCCTGCGCGATGAGTGATGTAAAGAGATCTGCTGGTTCACTCCCCGAACGCCTGCAACGGCCAGGACTGGGCCAGGCTGAAGCCAGGAGCCTGGAGCTCCATCCGGGTCTCCCACGTGGGCCATCCCCTGCTGTCTCCCAGGCGCGTTAGCAGGGAAGCCGGGTTGGAGGCGGAGCAGCCAGGTCTGAAACCAGCACTCCGACACGGACGCTCGCCAGGTGTGCCAGCAGCAGTCTAAGCCGCTGTGCCGCGTGCCAGCCTCAGGGCCGTCTCCAGTTCTCACGGCAGTCAGGCCGTGACGAATGCTCAGCCAGCTTCCACCAACGCGAGGACAGAACTGGCTGGAACTTTACTTCCTGGGTGGCCACTTCGAGTCCCTCATCTCTCTTAGTCTGTAGTGTAATTTAGATAAATTATGAATTCTGATTTATTCATCTGACGTCTAAGAGTGCTGGACCCCAAATTTCTGTTGTTGTTAAATCTGATGGTTTTCAACACAGATTTAGATGTGAAAGTGGTTTCTTTAAAAAGACCAAGGAGGATGGCCGCCTAGTCCAGGGGTGTGGGACACCCACATCCCGCGTGGGGACGCCTGGGTTCGATCCCAGCTCTGGCTCCTGGCTCCAGCTTCTTGCTAAGCTAGGCCCTGGGAGGCAGCGAGGGCGGCTCAGTAACTGGGCTCCTGTCGCCCACGTGGCAGACTCAGAATGAGCTCCGGGCTCCTGACTTCAGCCGGCTTGATCCCGGGCGTCGGGTCATCACCAGGAGCAGGAGCAGGGAGCTGGGTCAGCTGGGACTCGGTCCAGCAAGGCTGCTGACAGTGTCACCTTGTCACACATCAGATGCCTGCGCACAGCCCTGCGTTCCCTGAGCAACCAACGCTCCGCTCAGGGCCCTGGAAATGGCGTGGCCCAGAGGCTTCACAGCTGGAAGAGTTTCCCTTCTGTTATTACTGGGTTACAACCCAAAGAAGTTAAGGAACAGTTTCCCATCTGAGTTACAACCCAGAGAAATTGTTTTTTGTTTTTTTGTTTGTTTGTTTGTTTTGCAAAATATGTTTGACCAGCCTTAATTTTATCAAAACGCTGGGGCAGCTGTGCTCACGGCCGGACCCCTGCTGGTCCCCCACTTCCGGCACTCAGATTCCTTGCTGGGAGGGTAGGGAGTGGGGAGTGGGTGGGGGTGGCCTGCAGAGCGGGTGTCACTGGGGAAAACCTGGCCAACCTCACCGAGAAGCAGGGGACGAATTTTCAAAGAAAATTAAGACAGATTACCATGCAGACATTTGAACCTTTAAATGTGTCCAAGCAGGAACAAGGGGTTTTTTGTTTACCAGGCACCTTTCCCTACGAGGCGGGCGACTGGTCAGAGCTCATTATGCTGCTGGTGGAATCGACTGAAGTGACTCTCCCGCCCTTGAAACCTTCCTGCCAGGAGTTCCTCCTCGTCTTCCTCCCGAGCCTTCTTCACTTCCTCCTTGGCCTGAATGGCATCCATCTCCCTCTCTGGTCCCTGGAGGAAAGGAAACAAAACACAAACAGGCAGCAGCAGCAGGGGATTCTGGGTACTGGAGGCTGAATGCTTGCCTTCTAGAAGCTTCTGCATCACCATGGGCAGGCCACTGAGCCCCTGAGGCCTGGAACTTATAACCTGTTACTGCATACAGGGGCCTGCGCTGTGGCACAGCGGGTTAAAGCCCTGGCCTGAAGCACTGGCATCCCATATGGACATATCGAGTCCCAGCTGCTCCACTTCCCATCCAGCTCTCTGCTATGGCCTGGGAAAGCAGCAGAAGATGGCCCTGGTCCTTGGGCCCCTGCACCAAGTGGGAGATCAGAAGAAGCCCCTGGCTCCTGGCTTTGGCCTGGCCCAGCCCTGGCCATTACAGCCACAACAGCTTCCTACTAACGTGCACCCTGGGAGGCAGCAGGTGTTGGCTCACACGCTTGGTCCCTGCCACCCACGTGGGTGACCCGCAAGAATTCTAGGCTCCTGGCTTTGGCCTGGCTCAGCCCTGGCTGTGTGTACATTTGGGGAGTAAACCGGTGGATAGAAGGTAGGGGATCTCTCTCTCCCTTTCTGCTTTTCAAATAAGATGAAAATAAATAAATAAAAGCATGTGGCACAAGGAAACTCTGGTTGGATGCAGAGGGGAACACAGAATAGGACAATCCCACTGAGAACTGTGTGTCTACATCAGATCCCGGGAAACCAGGATCTTCACTCCTGGGCTCGCCTTCCCTGAAAGACACAGAAGTCTTGCCCTTCCCACAGTTTTAGCTACCTTGGTCAACTAAAGAATTGTCAATGGAAAATCCAGAAATAAACAATTCCTCCTTTTAAAATGACCTTTACAACAGTATATCGTTTCCAATTGTTCTATTTTATCATTAGTTCTTGTTCCTCTCTTACTGTGCTTACTTTATAAATTAGACTTTCTCATGGGTATGTCTAGGGAAAACCACCTGTTCGGATTTCCCAGTGTGTGTTTGTGGTTTCAGGCATCCTTGGGCCTTCTTGGGTAACAGGGGGACTACAGGACAACACTGCTCATTAGCAGCCATATTCGTAGGGTTCCACACTGGGAGCCCCCCAGAGAGAATGGACACACACATTCTGGAATGTTCTCGGAGTAAGAACAAACGTGGATGATTCTCACCGCTCCCGCTAAAACAGCAAATGTCAGCTGTTCTGTTCATGGGAGTTATCACAAGAGGTGATTTGAGGGTGGACTCAGCAGTTAGGATTCCCGCACCCCACGCTGGTATGCCTGCATGTGACGCCCGGTTCTGGAGCCTGCCCCCGGCTCCCTGCTGATGCAGACCCCGGGAGGCAGCAGGTGACACAGGGAACTGGGGCCCTGCCTCCCACACGGGGGCCACACACTGAGCTCCTTCTCCTGGCCCTGGCCCTTCCCCAGCCACTGAGGGGATCTGCGAGGGACCAAGCGGAGAGGAGCTCTCTGCCTCGCGGACAAATGAAAACAGGTGAGACTGATCTGTAGGGTCGAACAGTGTTTGCTGTTGTGGCTGATCAGGGTGAATACTGACTTGGAGGGCTACAGGGGAGCTTCTAGGGTGCTGCTACGTGTGTGTGTGTGTACATGTGTATGCATGTATGTACATGTGTGTTATGTGTGTATGTGTGTTGTGTGTATGTGTGTTGTATATGTGTGTATGTGTGTGTTGTGTGTATGTGTGTGTGTGTGTGTGTGAAGCAGTTTGGATCAATGCACGAAGGACGAGATTCACAGGAGGTAAATGCGTAACAAGAAAAGTGACTCCTGGACGGCGTACCTTGGTTTCGCCCCAGGTGGCCTTGCCAAAATTCTCAGCGTACTCTTCATCATCTGTGATCAGGAAGTTGTCAAAGATGGTGCCGGACCTCACCTGCACGGGGAGAGGCCTGCGTTGTCGACGTGAGGTGTGTGACAGCGTTCCACTTCAGCCGTCTGTTTACTCAGCGCTCTAACACGGACTGGCTCACAACAGCAGACAGTACTGACCCCATTTCTAGAATATTCTGGGACACCGACTGTCAAACGTGGCCACACACTTTGAGCACCAAGAGCATTTAAAAACTCCTGATGGGTAGGTATTGGGCCTCGTGGCTCACACACCTGTGTCCACCTGAGAGGGCCTGGGTGCAGAGTCCAGCTCCAGCTCCTGACTCCTGCTTCCTGCTACTGCACACCCTGGGAGGCGGCAGTCCTGGCTCAAGTGACTGGCTCCTGCCACTCATCAGTACTTGGAAGATCTCTGTCTCCCCCTCTCTCATCTGGACTCTGCCTTTAGATAAATCAATGAACCAATCTGTTTTAAAAAACAAACCGCGGTTCTACCTCCAGGGTTCAGGTAAGGGTACCTGGCACCCAGCAAGTGCTCAGGGAACAGCATTAATGTACAAGTTCAGGCTGAAGTTCAGAGTCTAGCAAAGTTACAGTCAACGCTATGTTTTCAATGTGCTTTCTTCCCCCAAAGGTCTTGATCTTGGCACCTTGGTCCCCATGGCAGTACTGCTGAAGTGGTGGGACCTTGAAGAGGTAGGGCCCAGTGGGAGGTGGTTACATCATGGGACTTGACTCTCAGGAGTGGATTAATGCTGTCTGGGACTCTACTCTCAGGAGTGGATTAATGCTGTCTGGAGGGAATGCATCAAGAATCCTGGAAATCAGTTTGTTACCCCAGGAACAGGTGGTTCTGAAAGAGAGGTCCCTGGTGTCTCGTCTCACCACGCGCCCTCCGCTCCTGGTCCCTTAGTCCTGTCTCTCTGCTCCTGGTCCCTTAGCCCCGTCTCACCACGCGCCCTCCACTCCCGGTCCCTTAGTCCTATCTCACCACGCGCCCTCCACTCCTGGTCTCTTAGTCCTGTCCCTCTGCTCCTGGTCCCTTAGTCCCGTCTCACCACGCGCTCTCTGCTCCTGGTACCTAGCTCTCCATCTCACCACGCGCTCTCTGCTCCCGGTCCCTTAGTCCCGTCTCACCACGCGCTCTCTGCTCCCGGAGTCTTAGTCCTGTCTCTCCGCTCCTGGTCCCTGGCTCCCTGTCTCACCACGCGCCCTCTGCTCCTGGTCCCTTAGTCCCGTCTCATCACGCGCTCTCTGCTCCCGGTCCCTTAGTCCCGTCTCACCACGTGCCCTCCGCTCCTGGTCTCTTAGTCCTGTCCCTCTGCTCCTGGTCCCTTAGTCCCGTCTCACCACGCGCTCTCTGCTCCTGGTCCCTGGCTCCCCGTCTCACCACGCGCTCTCTGCTCCTGGTCCCTTAGTCCCGTCTCACCACGTGCCCTCTGCTCCCGGTCCCTTAGCCCCATCTCACCACGCGCCCTCTGCTCCTGGTCCTTTAGCCCCGTCTCACCATGCGCCCTCCGCTCCTGGTCCCTTAGTCCCGTCTCACCACACGCCCTCCGCTCCCGGTCCCTTAGTCTCGTCTCACCACGCGCTCTCCGCTCCTGGTCCCTTAGCCCCGTCTCACCACGCGCCCTCCGCTCCCGGTCCCTTAGCCCCGTCTCACCACGCGCCCTCCGCTCCCGGTCCCTTAGCCCCGTCTCACCACGCGCCCCCCGCTCCCGGTCCCTTAGCCCCGTCTCACCACGCGCTCTCTGCTCCTGGTCCCTTAGCCCCGTCTCATCACGCGCCCTCTGCTCCCGGTCTCTTAGTCCTGTCTCTCTGCTCCTGGTCCCTTAGTCCCGTCTCACCACGCGCCCTCTGCTCCTGGTCCATTAGCCCCGTCTCACCACGCGCCCTCCTCTCCTGGTCTCTTAGTCCCGTCTCACCACGCGCCCTCTGCTCCTGGTCTCTTAGTCCCGTCTCACCACGCGCTCTCTGCTTGTGCTCTTGCTATGGGACGCCATTCACCAAGCTGTGATGCAGCCAGAAGGCTCTAACCAGGGACCACACCCGCGAGGCCAGCTGATCCCGGACTTCAGCGTCAACACACGTCTTTCCACCGCATAGCCCGCCGCGTGGGTGCACTGTCCTAGCCAGAGAAAGTGGACTGAGACACCGAGTGACCTGCCAGAGCTCCAGTCCGATGGCGCCGATGTTCTCAAACTCCGAGAGGTCGTACTCCATCAGGGAGCTGGTGCCCCTCATCTTCTGGTACAGCCAGACGTGCTTGTCGATGCCCTCTGGCTTCAGGCCGTCCTGCAACGACCATGACCATGACCATGACCATGACCATGACGCTGCATGTGGTGGTCCCGGAAGGAGGGCCGGGGAGAGGGAGAGGGCAGCCCAAGGTCATCCCAGGGCATCGTGGGAAGGACGACACGGCCCACGTGGGGGGGCGGCCCAAGGTCATCCCAGGGCATCATGGGAAGGACAGTGCAGCCCACCTGGGGGGGCAGCCCAAGGTCACCCCAGGGCATCATGGGAAGGATGGTGCAGCCCACCTGGGGGGGCAGCCCAAGGTCATCCCAGGGCATCATGGGAAGGATGGTGCAGCCCACCTGGGGGGGCAGCCCAAGGTCATCCCAGGGTATCATGGGAAGGATGGTGCAGCCCACCTGGGCGGGGCAGCCCAAGGTCATCCCAGGGCATCATGGGAAGGACGGTGCGGCCCACCTGGGGGGTGGTCCTAGGTCATCCCAGGGCATCATGGGAAGGACAGTGTGGCCCACCTGGGGGGGCAGCCCAAGGTCACCCCAGGGCATCATGGGAAGGATGGTGCAGCCCACCTGGGGGGGCAGCCCAAGGTCACCACAGGGCATCATGGGAAGGATGGTGCAGCCCACCTGGGGGGCAGCCCAAGGTCACCCCAGGGCATCATGGGAAAGAAGGTGTGGCCCACCTGGTAGGGTGGCTTCTGGAGCATCGGTGCCTGCCAGTCCCCATCCAGCTCACTGTTCCAGTCACTTGGTTCACTGGCGCCAGCGTCCAGAAAATGCTTCTCCCAGTCCTTCAAAGATGCGGAAAAGGCAAGACCAGTCAGGGTGGGGTGGGGGTGGTGGCACGGCCGGTCCCACGGCCGGTCCCCGCGACTCCACTTCTAGTCCAGAGTCCTGCTAATGCTCCTGGGAAGGCAGTGGGTCAGATGGCTCATGCAAGTACCTGCGTCCCCTGCCACCTATGTGGGAGACCTGGGGGGGCTCCTGCTGTTGTGGGCATTTAGTGAATGAACTAGCAGATAGAAGATCTCTCCATGCCTCATGCTCTGTCACTCAGCTTTTCAATTAAATAAATAAGTTTTTTTAAAAAGTCAGAGGTTCACATCTGAGACAGGAAATTCTCAGATGCTAACAGGCAGGGATGGGGGCCAGGCCAAAGCCAGGGGCAGAAGCCACATTTGGGTCTCCCAGGTAGGTGCACTGGGGCCATCTTTTGCTGCTTTCCTAGGTGTATCAGCAGGGAGCTGGAGCAGAAGTGGAGCAGCCGGGACTCGAACCTGCACCCAAATGGGATGCCGGCACTGCAGGCAGTGGCTTCACCAGCTATGCCACAGCCCAGGCCCCAGGGCCAAAAACACTTGAGGTTCCCAAACCCACCAAAGGGGGCAGGGCAGGCGTTTGGCCTAGTGGTTAAGATACCCACGGCCCGTGTCGGCTTGAGTCCTGGGTCTGGCTTCCTGCCAAGGCAGACTCGGCAACGCAGCAGACGGCTCAGCTGTCTGGGTTCCTGCCGCCCCGTGCGAGACCCGGATTGCGTCTCAGCTCTTGGCTTCAGCCCTGGGCCCAGCCTCAGCCATTCTGGGCATCTGGGGAGTGAACTAAGGGACGGGAGCTCCCTCTCTCCCTCTAAAGTCCATCAGTCAATCTCACCAAGGACTCGGGGCAGCAACGGATTGGCAGATTTTTCTCCCCGACCCTCTGTGTGGTGATTTCAGCATTTCCCCCAGTTCTGAGTGGAACAGCAGGATGAAAAGCCAGAGCGAATGGCTAAGCTGAAAATGCCAGGGCAGCGCTGGTGTTGTGGCGCAGTGGGTTAGGCTGCCGCCTGCAGCATCACCATCCATACCTGAGCTCTGCTTCCAAGCCGGCTCCCTGCCAATGCATGGGAAAGGCAGCGACAGCTTGGGCCCCTGCACCCATGTGGGAGACCTGGATGGAGCTCCTGGCTCCTGGCTTTGGGCCGGCCTGACTCCAGCCATTGTGGCCATTTGGGGAATGAACCATTGGACAGAAGATCTCTCTCTCTCTCTCTGTCTCTCTCTCTGTGTCTCTCTGTCTCTCTCTCTCTCTGTCACTCTGCCTTTCAAACAAACAAACCTTAAAAACTTTTTAGAAATAAAATGACAGAGCCAAAAGTACTGGCAGGAGGAGCGGCTATACACAGACTTCCACTCAGGTTACGGGAAGTCTGTCTTTAAGGTCACGGTCACACGGGAACTGTTCCAGAGAGAGAGGCTGGACAATGACGAGACCTTCCAAGATTGATGTGGGGCCTGCTGGGTAGCTTCCACGACTGGATGCTTTTACACATACACACACGCACACACCACACACAACTGTACAACAGACCGCAGTGATCTGAATGTGGCCCCCTCGAAGCCCCCGCCTCGGTGTGATGGTGTGAGGTGAGGGAGCTGAGTATATCTGGAGGGGGGGGGATCACGCCTTCACAGAAGGGACCCCAGAGAGCTCTCCTGGTCTCGGGGACAGCGAGGGGGCGGCCATCTGCAGCCCGGAGGAGGGCCCTCGCCAGAACCCAGCCATGCTGGCCCCCCAACCTTGAACTTTAGGAAAGAAATTCCTCAAGTGCTTCAGTCAGTGACACAGGGACGGCCTTGCTCAGGTCCATTTGTCTGGGAAGTTTGGGAAACACGCTCATCCAGGGCTAGCCGGTGCCCTGGGGTGGACCTCTGCTACGATATCGCCGGGTCACAGCTACGGGGCTCTTGTTCCCTTAACCTGAGCCACCGGCCAGGGCCGTCCAGGAAGATTCCGTACCTGGGCCTTTTCTTCTTTGACCTGACTCCAGTCTTCAGGCTCTGCCGAGGACTTCGCCATCTTCTTCAGTGACGTCAAATTCCAGTCGTACTCGATGTTTCCCGACTCAATTACTTGGCCGTCGATTTTCACTTCGTACGAGAGATCTGGTCTTAAAACCAGGGCGTAGAGGTGTGTGAAGCCGTCTACCTGCCCGGGGTTAGGGGAGGAAGAGGGCAGAACAATGATGTTTCAACACAGGGGGCCGGCGCTGTGGGGTAGCGGGTAAAACCGCCCCCTGCAGTGCCGGCATCCCACAGGGGCACCGGTTCGCGTCCCGGCTGCTCCTCTTCCCTCCATCTCCTTGCAGACGCCCCTGGAAAAGCAGCAGCAGATGGCCCAAGTGCCTGGGACCCTGCCACACAAGTGAGAGACCCGGATGGAGCTCCTGGCTTCCGGCTTCATCCTGGCTCAGCCCTGGCTCTTGCAGCCATTTAGGAAATGAACCAATGGATAGAAGCTCTCTCTCTCTCTTTCTGTCTCTCCCTCTCTCTTTGTAACTCTGCCTTCCAAATAAATAATTAAATCTTTTTTTTTTTTAAAAAAAGGAACTATTCCCATTCTAGAATGTTCTGATGTTTTAAGGATTATCTCATTTCTACAGAATGTTTTCCGTCCCAAAAATATTTCATCTCTGCTGCCGATGGCTGTGGCTGAAATGCGACTATCCTACTGGAACTCTTTGGGGGCAGATTTTAGTAGGATGGCATAGCTCGCAGGAAAAAAAAATGACTATGGCCTCCTTGCAGGATTTAAAACCTGGCAGGGTGGACAACTGTGGAATAGACCCGGGCAGTGGGACACAAGGAACAAGAGGTATGTTTGCTAAGACCCAGCCTAGGCTCAGTTAAATATTTAGAGCTCAAAACGATTTTCTCCAAACTTAGTTACCAACAGGCAAGAGTTAACGCAATCCATTACTCACTGGAATCGGAGAACAGTTACCTTGCATCTGATTGATTTCTTGTTTGCGTGATACTGATTCTTGAAATATAAAATAACATGAACTTTCTTAATATCAAATCCACAAATATCGGGTCCTACAAAACAAATGTGAGCTGCTCTCAATTTCTTTCCATGATACGTCGCTGCAGAATATCATCCCACACCCCCGCACGAACCATTCGTTTTCTACACAGGGATCTTTTAAAAAGTTTGTGGAAGGGTTGAGCCCGTCAGCCTGGCCGGTGAGATACTCGCATCCCACACTGGAGGGCCTGGGTTCCACACCCAGGTCTGCTCCTGGCTAACACAGATCTAGCAAGCAGGGGTGATGGCTCAAAGAGCTGGGCCCCTCCCACACACTTGGGAGACCTGGATCGAGTTCCTGGCTCCTGGCTTTGGCACTGGCCCAGCCCTAGATATTGTAGGCATTTGGGGAATGAATGAACTAGCACATGGTAGGGGGAAGAGACACCTGCCATTGGCCGATTCATTCCCCAAATGGGTTAAATGGCCCAGGCTGTGCCAGGCTGAAGCCAGGAGCCAGGAACTCCATCCAGGTCCCAGGCACATCAGCAGGAAACCAGTTTGGAAGCAGAACAGCCAGGACTCAAACCGGCATGCTGGTATGCGATGCCAGTGTATGTAGCAAGTGGAGATTTAACCTCCTGTGCCCACAACACCAGCCCTTGTCTGTTCTTAATAACCTCAAATGATAAGCTAAAGAGAAGCCATGTTCAGTACATACATTCTGATCAACCACACCATACAACGCTCTCAAAAGTCATTCCGTCTGACCCGGAACTTGGAATTCAATACATCTAGAGCAGGCTAACTTTTTTTTTTCTTTTTTCTTTTTGCAGGCTAACTTTTAAGTTGATCATTTTGTAAGGCCCACGAATGATGTTCTAAATATCCAAATAGCCCTTGGCAGAGAAAAAGGTTCCCCACCCCTGGATTCTAGAGAGTTCCATTCAAATGATAAGGATGTTAAAGTGGCACTTGCCAGGTGTCAAGTCTCAGTCACTCTGGAAACAGACAGTTCCAGGACACTCTGGGTCGGAGAAAAGACGTCAGGGCTCTGAGTGGGCCAGGCAAGGCTTCTAGGAGGCGTCTGGAACATTCACGAAGCCTCCTGAGAGTCTGGAACTGTCCCGCTTTAGCTGTTCTGACCTAACGTCTTAAGAATGCGCTAACGCATCCGGGTGTTTCTGCTGTGGACGATCTGCACTGCCCGTGGGGACTCTGTGGGGGCAAACCCATCACGATTTCTGGTTTCTCCAGAGTGAATGCTACATGAACTTGGAAATGGCCCTTTGTGGGACGGGCGAGGCTCCCCGGGTCTGTCTCCCAGCTGGGCTCTCCAAGAGCCTCTTTGCTCATCCAGTTCATTTTTTTTTTTTTTTAAACCACAGCTAGGGCACACAAACTACTTGTATAAAAATGCTACTTTCTCAGGATTGAGACGGTCGATATATTTTTTCCCGCAAACATGGTCAGAATTTCCCGACATGCTTTGAATGTTTACTTCAGTGGAAGAACACACCCAGAAGTAACCAGAAAGTCATGGCATCCTCCTCTAGCAGTAACGACAAGATATTCATGCCTGTAACGGACTTCTGGAAGGAGAACCGGTGGACAGAGACGGGATCCGGGCTGACTCAACTTTGGGCTGGGGGTTTAATGTCTCTGAGCCTCAGCTTCCTTATTTACCAAATGGGGGTTGTGTTACCCGCTTCCTGGGGTTTTAGGCACCACTTGAGACTACAAATGGAAGCCCCCCCCCCCCCTTAGCAGGGACCTCTAAAACTTATCTCTCCAGGTGAGGGCATTTAGGGCAGTTTTGGTTAAGTCACCACTTGGGTAAGTGACTTTGGTTAAGTCATCACCGCACCTCTGAGTGCCTGGTTCGAGTCCCAGGTACTCCACTGTTGATCCAGCTTCCTGCTAATGTGCACCTAGGAAGGCAACAACTGATGGCTCAAGTACTTGGGTCCCTGTCACTCACAAGGGAGACCTGCATTGGGTTCCAGGCTCCTGGTGTCAGGCTGGTCTAGCCCAGGCTTGCGCGGGCACTGGTGGAGGCAAAGAGCAGGTGGAAGACCTCTGTCTCCCCGCCACCCACGTGGGAGACCCAGATCAAGTCCCAGGCTCCTGGCTTCAGCCTGGCCCAGCCATGGCTGCTGCAGGCATTTGGGGAGTGAATTGGTGGTTGGGACATTGATCTCCGTCTTCCAAATACATATTTTTAAAAAGGCTGGTGCTGACATATCAGAGGGAATTGTTCTAACAGTGAGAGGGTCAGTTTGAGTAAAACAGCACTGACTCTGAGTTAAAAACAGAAATAATACAGAAAATTTAATCTTCTTATTAAAAAGTATGTTGCTTTGCCTTTCAGATGACGCAGATAATATGCGATTTCTGTGGGTACTTTAAAAAGTTTATGGGAGGGGAATTAAAAGAATTTTATTTTGGTGCAGAACATTTTAGAAATTGATGCTTCCTGTAGTATACATTTCTAGGAACTTTCAGATCTTTCTTATGGTTTTAAGACTTTTTAAAAAATTATTTTGGGGACCAGCACTGTGGCACAGCAGGTAAAGCCACTGCCTACAGTGCTGGCATCCCATATGGGCACCGGTTCAAGTCCCGGCTGCTCCACTTCCGATCCAGTTCTCTGCTATGGCCTGAGAAAGCAGTAGAAGATGGCCCAAGTGCTTGGACCCCTGCACCCGCATGGGAGACCCGGAAGAAGCCCCTGGCTCCTGGCTTCAGATCGGCGCAGCTCCAGCCATTGTGGCCATCTGGGGAGTGAACCAGCAAATGGAAGACCTCTCTCTCTCTCTCCCTCTCTGCCTCTCTTCTCTCTCTGTGTAACTCTGACTTTCAAACAAATAAATACATCTTTAAAAAAAAATGCACGAATTGATCCCAGTTCACAGGGGCATGCAAACACGGGTTGTGGGCCGACTTGGATGGAGCTCCAGGCTCCTGGCTTCAGCCCTGCCCAAGCCTGGCGGCTGATGCCATGTGGGGACTGAGCCAGCAATGGAGGAGGGGTTTCCGGTCGCCAGGTAGGCGGCGCCATGCTCTCCGAACTCACCAAACATAATATAGTACTGGGACTTTCCGCTCAGGTTCTTCTGGTCCACGTCTGCTGGGAAGATCTTCACGTAGCCCCCGCCACAGTCCATCTTCTGCTCGTGTTTCACCGTGTACTGAATGACCAGGGTCCGCCCCTTGTTGCTGAAGGGCTTGAAGCGGGCCGAGATGGCGTAGTAGCGGCCATTCTGAGTGGTCTGCAGACCTTGCAACGGAAAGCACCCATGAGGGAGGAGGAAGGATGCTCTGGGCTCAGCCTCTTCCTCCCCTCGTCCTCCCCACCGCCCAGCATGCCACCCGCCCAACCGTGGGTGGTGCCGCGGCCACGGAGCCCACAACCGTGGCTTGCAGACACTGGAGGAGAACCTGCCCGCTGCGTGGACAGCGCTTCTCTTTCTGGTCACTACTTCCTGCACACCACAGCGTGACAACTACTTACACAGGATTTGCACGGGATGCTAAGTCGTCTAGAAATGGAGTATACAGGATGTGTGCAGGTTCTACACAAACACTATGCCTTTTTATATATATATATATATATATAGGAGGGGATTTAAAAAAGGTTGTAGAAGCTGGAATTAAGTCTATTTTAGGGCAAAAAAAAAAAAAAGATACTTGAAATCCATGCACATGATAGGTCTTCAAAAAGTTCACGGGAAGGGGCCAGAGTTTTGGTAAAGGTTAAACCATTGCCTGCCACACTGGCATACCATATGAGCGCAGATTCGAGTCCCGGCTGCTCCACTTCTGATCCAGCTCCCTGCTAATGCACCTGGGAGAGCAGCGGAAGAAAGCTCAGGTACTCAGATCCCTACCATCCACCTGAGAGACCTGGATGGAGGTCCACACTCCAGGCTCCCTGGCCACTATGGCCAATTGGGGAGTGAACCAGCAGATGGAAGACCTCTCTCTCTCTCTCTCTCTGTGCCTCTCCTTCTCTCTCTATAACTCTGAAGCCAAGATCTCCATCTGGGTCTCCCATGCGAGTACAGGGGCCCAAGCACATGGGCCATCTTCTACTGCTTTCCCAGGCCACAGCAGAGAGTTGGACGGGAAGTGGAGCAGCCGGGACTCGAACCAGCACCCATATGGGATGCTGGCACTGCAGGCGGCAGCTTTCCCTGCTATGCCACAGTGCCGGCTCCATAAGCTTGTTTTAAATTTCACTTTTCCGTGAACTTTTTGAAGCACCCTCGTATAGGGGACTTGGGCATGGAGATTTTGGTATGCCCAGGGGTTCCCAGAATCTACCGCTCCTAACAGGCTGACTGTTCCTGTCTCGATGTGGTGCCTACAACGTACTGACACAAGACACAACGGGCACGCCATGGCTGCCCGATTCCACGGGGTTCCTATTTCTTGTGTTTTTCTGTATTTAACAGACAAAAGCACTTCAACTCTAAATGGCAAAGACACAGTCTAAAGGGGTGGGAATACACAATTGAGCTGAACACAAACAACGGAACACTCTGTCTGGTTCCATCTCATACCAGAGACACATAGGGGATGAGCACGTCACCAGCAGGGCACACACCCGCTGCACGGCACGGATGGCCAGCAGGCGTCCCCACGGGCGACCTTTGTATGGAGACACCGTCCTCTTGGGCACGAGATCCATCTCACACTGGAAGTCCCGTTCTTGGTTCCGATCCTTCCATTGGCGCTGGCCAATGTGAAGACACAGCCATCCTGGCCATCTCCCCCGCTCTGACATCATAAATGAACTTGGCATTGGCACCCAGTGTGTCTGAGGCTGAACTCACGGCTGGTCCCCCACTCTCACATCTTTTGCTCAGAGAACGTCAGTGCCCCTACCCTACCTTACCCCCACCTCCCAGTAACCCCTAAGGCCATCTGATTCTCTGCCTCTTTGCCTCTTCACCCTTCACCGCCACCCCTCTTCCGCAACCTCCCACCTCTTGTCTCTTCCTTCACCGCTTCCAACCTGTGGTCCCAGGACACAGGTGAAGGGGGTAGCAGCCCGTCTCCCCATTGCCCTGCCTGGGTCTGCTCACAGCAGACAATGTGCTGACAGGACGAGGGACAGGCAGATTCCCCGGATTCCGGGCTGGGAACCGGTGCGGACGTGTCAGAGGGGGTTGGGCGACACTCCAATGAGCTCTATCAAACACCACATTTCCTGTGTCTCCTTTCTCTCATACAGCACTCGTGGGGGGAACATGGGTCTCAGGAAACAATGCACACACAGGCAGAGGCAGCAGGACCTTGTCAGGAGGTTAAGTGGCAGGCGGGAAAGCTGACTTTTATTATCGACTGTCCATTTATGGGGTACAGTGCAACACTCCGTCTCTGTACACAGAGCTCAGTGGGCAAATCAGGTTGACATCCCCAGCTCCTTCAACAGCAAAAAAATAATCTGGGGGGGGGGGGTGAACCAAGTTTGAGTGTTTATAGAGCACAGTATGATAATTCTATTAAACGTATACACCATGTTTGTTTGTTTTTGACAGGCAGAGTGGACAGTGAGACAGAGAGACAGAGAAAGGTCTTCCTTTTGCCGATGGTTCACCCTCCAATGGCCACTGCGGCCGGCGCACCACGCTGATCCGATGGCAGGAGCCAGGTGCTTCTCCTGGTCTCCCATGGGGTGCAGGGCCCAAGCACTTGGGCCATCCTCCACTGCACTCCCGGGCCACAGCAGAGAGCTGGCCTGGAAGAGGGGGCAACCGGGACAGAATCCAGCGCCCCAACCGGGACTAGAACTTGGTGTGCTGGCGCCACAAGGTGGAGGATTAGCCTACTGAGCCGCGGCGCCAGCCATGTATAGATCAAACCAGAATTATTAGTGTTTCTATCTCTTTGTGGTTACTTTAGGTTTGGCGTCTTTGAGAGCCTCCTTTTATTTACCCATAAACCTTGTAAGAGGCTACGGTGAAGTGTGGACCACCCCGCGGTGCGGTGGGGGCGCTAGAACCTTCCATCTTGGTGCTCCTTAGCCAACATGCACCTGCTGCCTCCTTCCCCCTCCAACCCTACATCCAAGGGCCCACAGACGTTTTCTCCAAGGCCAGAGAGCGAACATATCTGCGACCTCCTGGGCCATTCGGTTCCTGTCTCAACCTCGCCCGTATTTCGTCGACTTTTCCATCATTTTTATGGGTTATAAACCACCACCCACCTTTCCTCTTCTCCCCCGCCTATACCAAAATGTCCCAAACCATTCCCAGCTCGTTGGCTGTGCACCAAGACGACAGATCAGCCCCAAGAAGCCAGGGTGGAGGCCGGTCCTTGGGATCACGCGTGTCAGGAATGGGGCGGGGGTGGGCCAGCGGTGCAGAGACCCTGATGGGGGGATGGGCCCCCTCAAAACCCTACAAGAGAACAAGGCCGTGTGCTGCGCCTGGGTGCCCTGGTCCTTGGATGACCGGTTCCTTCACTGGGTCTCCTCGATGCCTCCAACTCAAAAACAAACTTATTGAGGGGCGGCGTGGGGTGGGCATGGGGTCTAGGCGGTTGGGACCCAACTCTGGACCCCACTTCCTGCTAATGCAGACCCGGGGATGACCCAAGCAGTTGGGTCCCTTGCCACCGCACCACCCCCGTGGGAAGACTGTTTATTATTATTTTTTAAGCTCCTGCTTTCGGACCGCAGCTACTTGCAACAGGCAGCACACGGTGCTGGCCTCCCCGAGCCAAAGCCCCCCGGATGTGACCCCCCCAACCTACCTGGACACCGTCGCTACGAGGTGGCCCCCCACTCCCTGACGCTACACTAACCTTTGTCTTTTTCTTTATGACCATAAAACTTCCCCGACGAGAGTCTAAAATGCCCAAATTGGGAATTATTGGTGGACTGCACCCATCGGTTGCGCCAGCGTTCTGCAGAGGGGAAACAACACGGGTTACAGCAGGAACTCGTTCATCCGGGTCCCGGGGAAGAGTGCGGGACCGTCGGCCCTTCACCTCCGTCTAGAAATTCCTCCTGGAAGTAGACGGTGGCCAGCGCCACCCGCAGCGCGCAAATAGCCCAGAAGTGGACTCGAGCCCCGGCCATGGAAACGTGCGCGCCCACTCCCTGTAACCGCCCCCTCGCTCCCGGCGGTCTCTGCGGCTGGCCAGGCTCCGTTCCCGAAACTACAACTCCCGTCACAATTCGCGATTGTGACACCGAGGCCACCATTGGTCCCGGGCGCGCAAAGCACGCGGGGCCTGCCCTCAGAACTACTACTCCCATGATGCATCGCGATGGTCACCTGGAGCGTCATTGGTCAGCGGCGCGCGGCGTCCTTCGGGAAATGTAGTCCCTTCCACTCTGGCGCGGTTACCCGGGGCAACAGACCCTTGGGCCTCAGTCTGACCCGGGTGCTGCAGCCCCGGGGCCTCGGCGGATGGACAGCGAGGGAGGAGGTGAGCGGGAATGGTGGGGCGGCTGCAGGGCTGGCTCCCTAAGAGGGGCTGCGGGGGAATGCGGCGCCCCTCAGGGCTGGGCTGGTGTGGCGGCGCCTCACCTCAGGCTCCCGGTCAGGGGCTGGATGCGGTGCCGATGGCGCCAAGGCGGGAGAGACCGGCGTCTGTGGTTTACCAGGCTGGTGTCTGTTTTTTGGCAACTTTATGAGGGTGTGTTTTATCTGCTGGAGTGGTGCCCCCGTCCCCACACGCCAACTTTACAACTTTTTTTTTTTTTTTTTTTTTTTTAATTCCTCCTGAAATCGCCTGCGGTCCCGGTGCGCCCCGGCCCCCGGCCCGCTTTCGGAATCTCTAGGTTCGTTATTTAGGCACATTTGTTATTCAGGGACATTTCTTAAAAACGGAATCTGACGGTTACGGGGTAGGGGGCTTTGCGTCTGGCGCCTGCAGGTGCGTCAGGATTCTCCGTCTTTTTTTTTTTTTTTTTTTTATTTATTTATTCGTTTGAAAGGCAGAGTTATACAGAGAGAGGACTTCCATCCGCTGGTTCGCTCCCCAGATGGCCGCAATGGCCGGGCTGCAGCCAGGAGCCAGGAGCTTCCTCCGGGTCTCCCACGCAGGTGCAGGACTTGGGCCATGTTCCACTGCCTTCCCAGGCCGTAGCAGAGAGCTGGATCGGAAGTGGAGCAGCCGGGTCTCAGGCCACAATGCCCACCCCCCGTTATGATTCTGAAAAAGTCTGCGGGCCATCAGCCCACCTGAAACCACCAACCAAGGATGGACACAGACGCACAGGTGTTGATGGACACCCACCGGCAGGTGGAAGCCGGCCCCGCCCCCGCGGGCGCGCAGCTCCCTCCCCCAGCTCCTGATTGGCTGAGAAAGCTGGGGGGCGGTGCTCGGTGGGGGAGGGAGGGGGAATGGGTGGGTGCGGCTGGGCGGATCTAGGATCAGGGGGAGGGGAGTTTCGCTGTGATGTCATCAGGGCAATAGCTCTGTTTACGTATTACAAAATTTGTGAAAGTTACAAAATAACAAGTGGGGCGGGGTTTGCAAGGCAAGCTCAGCGGCTGGTCCACTTTGGGTCTCGAACCCTCAATTCTACTTGCTGCTAAGGCTAAGTCTTTTCCGAAAATACACCATGGAGCGTAGTAGGCTTGCGCCGGCATCCCCTGTGGATGTTGGTTCGAGTCTCGGCTGCTCCGCTTCCCATCCAGCTCCCTGCTGATGCGCCTGGGAGAGCAGCTAAGGGATGGCCCAAGTCCTTGGGCTCCTGCCACTCATGTGGGAGACCCGGATGGAGCTCCTGGCCCAGCTCCGGCCGTTGCCAGAGCTGTTGTTTGGGGAGCGAACCAGCAGATGGAAAACTCTGTGTCACTCCCTCTCTCTCTGTAGCTCTGCCTCTCAAATAAATAAATCTTAAATTAAAAAAAAAAAAAAAGATGAAAGGAAAATCCACCATGATCATTTCTCGCAAATCCCTCCTCTTTTTCTTTATACTACTTGGTGTTATTTCCATTTTATACTCTGGGATTAACGTGGTCTAATAGCTCTTGACTTTTTTTTTTTTTAATAAATTGTGTCCATTTGCTACAGCATTGTGTTAGGGACTCCTCTGGGAGCTCTTGGGAGAGCCTCCGTGATGGGTGGAGGAGCCCTGGTATAGGACGCCGGGCTGCAAGGGGTCACCAGTTGGACCAGGCACAAGTGCCTGTGCAACCCAATGGCAGCCGGTCCCGGAGCTTTCGTCCCTCCCAAATACCCCGAGACGGCAGCCCGTGGTAGGCTTAAAGCTGAATCCTTGCCGTTCAACTCCCCAGAGACACTCGGGATCCAGGCACGGGCTGGGAGTACTCGGGATCCGGGCACAGGCTGGGAGTACTCTTGTCGCCCCGCACAGCACAAAACCCTTTCCACCTGGGTCAGAGTCCCCTGCGAGAGGGAAGGGGACCACTCGTGCCCGTGGCCATCTGGCCCCACGTGTGTAACAGCTGCTTTTAGTAACAGCATGTATAGAAAATTGTACCCATTCAACCCAGGTGTTCAATCGCCTCGTGTCCCTGTCTGTATTTCTAGGGTTTGTCCTGATTCCGTAGTTTTTACTTGTTTTGGATCCACTGTAGAGATCGTCTGGTTTTATAACGTCACTGGTGGAGACTGAGGATAACTGAAGGGCTCAGGGCAGGAAACCTGTTTATCTGGCCTTGAATAGATGATGAGGAGCACAAGTAGTCTGCTACTTATTTATTTACTTGAAAGGCAGAGTTTCAGAAAGAGAGAAAGACTCAGAGAGAGGTCTTCCATCTGCTGGTTCACTCCCCAGATGGCCACAGTGGCCAGGGTTGGGCCAGGCAGGAGCCAGGAGCTCCATCCAGGTCTCCCACGCAGGTGCAGGGGCCCAAGGACTTGGCCCATCTTCTACTGCTTTCCCAGGCCATAGCAGAGAGCTGGATCGGAAGTGGAGCAGCCGGGACTCGAACCAGCGCCCATATGGGATGCTGGCACTGCAGGTGGCGGCTTTACCTGCTACAGCGCAGCACCGGCCTGGCTTCTAGGATCTTCACAGGGGTCCCCACCGGAGTCGTCTCTCTCTCTGCCTCTCCAACTCTGCCTTTCAAATAAATAAATAAATCTTTAAAAAAAAAAAAAAAAGATCCTGGAAGCAATGACAGTCCTTTTAAAGTTAGTCATAGTGGAGTGGCAGGCAGCTGGTGGAGCCCTCGCCGTCTCCGTCCTTCTCTGCAGTTCAGTTTTGGGTCCAGTGCACACTCGGGTGTAACGAGGCCACTCCTTTAATCAGTTCTCATGCAGTCGGCAGTCTTGGTGGCCAGGAGCACTTGGCGGGGACCCTCCCGGCGCCATTGGTTTTGTCTTCTTCCCAAGGTTTAACCAGCACCAGGTCACCGGCTTGGAAGTGATGAACTGCAAACAGAAAGTAAAGCAGAGGAATGGCTAGACTATGTTCTTAAAAAAAATTGGTCTTTGGTCTGCACGGTGGGGAGCTCTGTGGCCCTGCCACAGATGCAGGGGGTCCCCGTAACAGTTCCTAAAGGGTAGCCCCACTCACAGCTGGGCGCTTCGGGACCCCTGTAGCACTGTGCATGCGAAAGGACTCCTTGGTCTCTGTTTTTTGTTTGTTTGTTTGTTTTGTCAGACTAAATGTAGATATAATTTGTTTTGTTTTTATGTTTGATCATTTATTGTGGTTATGCAGGAAAATATATTTTTTTGACAGCCAGAGTTAGACAGAGAAAGAGAGAGAAAGGTCTTCCTTCCGTTGGTTCACCCCCTAAATGGCCGCTATGGCCGGTGCACTGTGCTGATCTGAAGGCAGGAGCCAGGTGCTTCTCCTGGTCTCCCATGGGGTGCAGGGCCCAAGCACTTGGGCCATCCTCCACTGCACTCCCGGGCTGCAGCAGAGAGCTGCACTGGAAGAGGAGCAACCGGGACAGAATCTGGCGCCCCAACCGGGACTAGAACCCGGGGTGCCGGCGCTGCAGGCGGAGGATTAGCCTAGTGAGCTGCGGTGCTGCCACAGGAAAATATTTTTAAAGATTTATTTATTTATTTGAAAGTCAGAGTTACAGACAGGCAGAGAGAGAGAGAGAGGTCTTCCACCTGCTGGTTCACTCCCCAGATGGCCTCAATGGCTGGAGCTGCGCCGATCTGAAGCCAGGAGCCAGGAGCTTCTTCCAGGTCTCCCACGTGGGTGCAGGGGCCCAAGTACTTGGGCCATCCTCCATTGCTTTCCTAGGCCACAGCAGAGAGCTGGATGGGAAGTGCAGCAGCCAGGACTCAAACCAGCACCCATATGGGATGCTGGCCCCAATGTAATCTGTTTTAAGGTTATTTTGGTAACATTCCCGGCAGCGGCCATTGTAAGAGACGAAGGCTGTGCCCAGCCGAGAGATGCCTTATGATGACAAACAGTTTCATCTCCCTGCTTTGGGGGTTTCGGTGACGTCTACCTGGAGGCTTTGACATGGTCTCAACCCTGGGGGCCTCCCGCGTAACTATTTGTTTGATGACCTTTTAATTCATCTTTGACAGATTACATATCCCGTACATACCTGTCTGGTGAGCGTGTCCATTCCTGTGTAACCGTGGCTTCTGGGTATAGTATCCCACACGGCCTGAGGACATCAATGGCACCTTCTAGGCAATATGGCCATCTTTTTATTTTATTTTAAAGATCTATTTATTTGGGGCCGGTGCTGTGGCACAACAGGTTAAAGCCCTGGCCTGAAGCGCCAGCATCCCATATGGGCGCCAGTTCGAGTCCCGGCTGCTCCACTTCTGATCCAGCTCTCTGCTATGGCCTGGGAAAGCAGTAGAAAATAGCCCAAGTCCTTGGGCCCATGCACTCATGGCTCCTGGCTTCGGATTGGCTCAGCTCCAGCCGTTGCGGCCAACTGGGGAGTGAACCAGCGGATGGAAGACTTCTGTCTCTACCTCTCTCTGTAACTCTCTTTAAATAAATAAAATAAATCTTTTTTTTTTTTTTTTTTTAATTATTTACTTGAGTTACAGAGAGGCAGAAGCTGAAAGACAGAGATCTGCCATCTGCTGGTTTACTCCCCACATAGCCACAACAGCTGGATCTGTGAAGCCAGGAGCCAGGAGCTTCTTCCAGGTCTCCCACGTGGCTGCAGAGGCCCAAGGGGGCCCAAGCACTTAGGCTGTCCTCTGCTGCTTACCCATTGGCAGGGAGCTGGATGGGAAGTGGAGCAGCCAGGACTCGAACCTGCGCCCACATGGGATGTCAGCACTGCAGGTGGCGGTTTTACCTGCTACGTCACAGCACCGGCCCCGTAATGTGGCCACCAATTCCCTCATCATTGGTTTGCTGATCATTCCTGTCTCCTTCCCATCAGGGAGCAGCCATTTTTCGTCATTGGTTTGGGTGGGCCCTGTTTTAAGCCGTCTCTCTTCTTTTTCTTCTTCTGTTGTTTGCCAGCCTGTTCACCGTAGCTTCAAGGGAGTTTCCATTGTGCTGAGCA